AAAAAAAAAAAAAAAACAAATGAGGCAATTGTAGGGTTTAAGTAGATTGAGAGTTACCTAAAGTGGAATCTCTCAGGCTTCAAGACCAAAATTCCACATCCCTGGTCACATGGCCTCTTCTTACTTCACGGCTAGGTGGAGGGCAGTGTTCGGTTTCTTCAGTTATGGATGCAAAGTGTTTGACAGGAGAATTCTGGCTATATGCTGAACCTGACTTTTAATAATCAGTGTTCAACCTTAGTTTAAAAAAAAAAAAATTAGTGATGCAGGTTGATCAACACAGTTTTTCAGTATCAGGGTGGAAATAATAAAAAGTCTTTTTCTTTTTGGCGGGGAGTCTTGAGATAGTTTTAGGCCTCCTGTAGTCTTCTTGCCTTAGTCTCCCAAATGCTGGATTTACAGGTGTGCACCACTACAACCAACATAAAAAGAATTTTCAGTGGTGAAAAATTGAAATTTAGTGCTTATAATGATGCCTCATGCAGAACAGATGTCAGATGGTCAAATTATCTTTATTTTTTGAGACAGGGCCTCACTATGTAGATCAGGCTGTTTTTGGCTCACTAGGCAGTTAGCTTCCATCCTCCTGCCTCAGCTTCCTTAAGTGCTGGGATTACAGGAATGCATGTTCTATCACATCCAACTTACTTTACATTTTGAAGGATTTTAGATTTCTTCATGAACTTTTCCAAAACACTTGGTATAATTGATTTCTTTCAGCTGTATGTGGTGTCACACAAAACTAATTGTAGCACTCAGTAGGCTGAGGCAGGAGGATTGCTGTGAGTTGGAGGCCAGCCTATGCGACGTAGCAAGAACCTGTCTCTAACAAACAAGGGCTGGGGAGACAGTTTGGGGGGTTCCCTGGGCCCTGAACCAGGCATGGTGGCTCATGCCTGTAATCCCAGCACTGGGGAGGCTGAGACAGGAAGATCACTAGGAGTCCAAACTGCGTAAGAAAATTTGTATCAAGGGGGAAAAAAAATGGGCTGTGTTGTAGCTCAGCTACATTAGAGTCTACCTGGCAAGCACAAGGTCCTGAGTTCAATCCCCAGTACTGCAAGAAACAAAAAAAGCAAAGCAAAGCAAAGCAAAAAAAACCCCTTTGTAATAGTAGACTGTGTGGGGCCAGGGAAATGGCTCAGTGGAATAAGTGCCTACCTGGCAAGCTTAAGGACCTGAGTTCAATCCCTGGTTCTGCTAAATAAAAAAAATAAAATAAAATAGTAGACTGTGTGCAGGTAGTACAAAATAAAGTAGTAACGGTAGAGTAATTTATGCATATAAGGTTGGGAAGTTATTTTAGGCATGATTTCTTTTTCTCCCCCCCAACCAAGGATTGAACTCAGGCCCTTCCGCTTGCCAGGGAAGCACTTATTCCACTGAGCCATCTCCCTGGCCCCTACATGATAATTTTAAAAAACATTTTCCAAAAAGATTCTTTTTTCAGAAGCTTTTTAGGAATCACAATGTTAGTAGAAACATTAAATACG